TTTCTCCAAAAATCCCAAGTACAAGGTTCATCAACTTGTGGGAACTGGAAACTGGCTTTATCTGCATGCACTTCCGAGCAAGATTGTACATGTTTTCTAAACCCTACAAAAGAAAAGGTCATGGATTTCTACTTCAATAGACGCTACAAAAAGTACACATTATCTTCATCCTAATTCGCTAATATTTCTTTCGGCCAAGACTGCAACTCTGTAATGTCAAATCTCTAAATAAAAAGGGATGTTAAATGTACCACTGTGAAAGGCCGGATATATAGAAAGTGAGAAACATAAAGCTCCATCCAATGACATGTTGCATTTGATAGAACACTAGCATTCCCCAACATAATCTGCAGCATATTTTTAAGTCCTTCCCTAGTCTGAAGGTGATCACATTGAAGCCAGTATGCACTGCACTCCAACTTTGTTATTTGTGCTCGCCATCTTTCCCATGCCTAGACAACAAAAGGGGATCAAGCATTGTTTGCAATATTAATAATGTTAGTGCACCAAATGGCCAAAATTACCTTCATAAAGTTTTGCTTGGAGGGGTAACATTCACCCAGTTTCCCTGCTGGTAGAGTAGTACGCATTCTGGGCATTTTTGTTATAAGAACAGCAACAGCTTCCACCAGTCCATTCTCTGTCTGCTTTGAGTAGCAGTAAAAGATTGTGTACACATCAGAATTTGTTATGTAATATTTGAGATCAGCCACCAAGATGGAAAATTACTTTGCAACTATGTCAGAATGTGACAGTATCTTTTCTTACATATATCTATTAATGCATCTTTCTGCTATACAAGAAAAGGTTCTATTCTGATTGGCAAAGCAAAAAGGAATGTACAAATATAATAACTGATATAGGACTTCAGAGTTCAGATGCCAATGCAACTTCAGTTATAACTTATAACCTCAAAATGTCAAGTCAACCGACCTCACGAGTTCCTAGCTGGTCAAACTGATAAGATCCATGCAAACGTAACAGTTTTACCTGCAAGTGCAAAACAGAATCTTACTAGTTTTCTGGCAACCTGGAACTACATAGATAGTTTACCAGTCATACTTACAACTGTATCTAACCAGCCAACTGCCAACGCTGATGATAAAACCTCCCAGTACTTGGGATCATTTTCAATGGTCTGAAAAGAGTGATTTGTCAGTGTAATGCAGTTTAAGAGGAACACTAATTAAAGCAACTAGTAATTTAAGAACATAGCAGATAGCATTCAAAAAAAAAAAAGAAAAAAAAAAAGAACATAGCAGATAAGCTAAGATGTAAATATTATATATATATATATATATATATATATATAAAACAATTCAAACTTTCTTTTAGGTATTTGACAGTGCTATTCAAATTATACTACTCCATACTAATAGCATAGAAGACAAATTTTGAACTTGGAGTCATTTCAAAATTATGAAAATCTAACATACAAAAATTTTGGCAACTTTTGAAAAAAAAATGACACCTAATACATACAACTTCCTATGAAACTTGCAGATCTGCTATTAGTATATTACCAAACAATAATCCACAAATTTCAAAAGTTATGCAGAAAAAGGAGCATCCAAAGGATGTTAAATCACCAACTGAATCAACAGATTTCTGTTTCAATAACACAGAATCATGAAAGAACATATAATCAACTGCACCTGTAAAGCAACAAGATCTTTCTGAAAATCCACAACTTTCGAATGGACAGTTGGGTGGGTTCCAGAGAATAAAGAATCATAGTCCTGTTGAATGAAAGGCAAATTAGGTGGAAACAGGCAGATTTTTTCATAGTAAAAGGATTAAAAGATAAACTTATACAGATGATGGTTAGACATGTAAAAACATAAATAAATAGCCATACAGCCAACCAATCAAGAAGCCGTTCTGAGATCCAAGCTTGGGATTGCTTGTCAGCATAAAACATCTCCATTAGCTCCCATGCACCTTTCAAACAAGTGGGCTCCTCAACTTCCTAGTAAGCAATAAACAACATATAAGAGACAAAGCTTTATACTTCGCGTCCAGGAAATATAGACATGGATCTACCTTTAAGACTGCTTTTGGATCTTCAATGACTGAAGTAGGAGCTGACTTTGGATTACCGAGGAGAGAATTTATTTCTTTGCTGTACTCCATAACATGCTCTGACCTAATTAGTTTACAAATATATTTGCAATCTTATGAGATTGACCGTGAGAATAAGTCCGGCACTGGTACTATAATTCTATTAGCTTTTGCAGTTAATGTATTGAAAAATGAATCTCTTCAACAAAACTTTCCACATTTGCCTCACAAGACAATCAGCTTATTGTCAACTTTGCAGTAAAAATTTTACAGACAAAACCCACCTTGTTCCATAGAAATTGAAATGGCGCTTTAAATGGTACTACATAGGCTTCTCAAAGAGGAAGCACAAAACAGTAGTTTTTTTTTTTTTTACCTATATTAGGTCTTTTTGCAAATACAAGTACAGATTATCAGAATAATCATGTTCCTTTAAAAATTTAAAAATATCTTCAGTGAGTACGAAAGATCATTGGTTCCAAAGAATAAATTTGTTTTATATTGCATCTTAAGTGGTCAAAATATGTAGGTTGTTCTTGGAGCCTTGGTGTACTGGCCAAGCACTCCATGGAAACCATCTCTGTGGAAATAAAGTTGAGGATGTGTCATCTTCCTCCTTCTTAAGTCAAGCATGATGTGAAAGTATTGTGGACTAAGTTCTCATCCAAACTTATTTTTCTAAAGTAGCCAAAGCAATGAAAGTGTGTTAGTTACTTTTTACTACCAATTATCTTAGTTGAAGTATAGATTGATCATGATATTGAAATTGGAATGTAGGAAACAAGGGAAAATCAGAGCCATTTAAGCAGTATAGCTCACTTTTATTTTCACATTAAAACCATTTTGTTAGTACTTAAACTCCTGAAGTGTATAAATATTCAAACATTGCAACTCATTTTAGCTTGCAAATTCATTTTTAAAAAAATCTACAAAATAGCTTTTTATTATGATATTACTTAATTCTCTAATCTGTAATTAGCTGAACTTCTTATCAGCTTGTTCAATTATGGTTATTTTTGCGGGATTTCATTCAAAGAATTCAAATTCTGAGACTTGGAAAGGTACCACTCAGCATTGTAGGGTGGAGAATCCAACGACATCTTCGACAACGCAGCCATGGAGTTCTTCCGACTCTGAAGAAGTGCGAAGGGAGTCACTGAACCGTAGGCGATTTTCCTCCACCTCACGGCATCGATCTCTTCACCACCAGTGTTGCTAAGGTTCAACTCCACCACCTTTCCGCCAGCCTCGCTGTCTCCGCCTCCAGCATCGTCGGGGGCCGGCTTCCGGAGGAGTGTGACGCGGAGAGTGTTCCCGCGCGCCCAGGAGATCGAGGCGCGGTGAATTGGGGGTTTAAGGCCGTGGCGGAGGGGGTAGACCACAACCGGGTTTTCGGATTCGGGCGGAACAGGGACCATTGCTAGGTCGCTGGAATCCGTCGCCATGCCGGGCATTTTGCTGTAAACTAGCCGGGATTACTGGGAAATTTTCCCTTTACTAGGGTTTTCGAAGGGTTTACTGGGACGACAGTGGACTATTTCGGAGTACGGACAACTAGGCGATTGTGTAACAACGCGCGAGTTTAATTTTAAATAGTCATTCATTTTTATTTGTCCACAAAACCTGCCACTTCAAAACAAATGGTGTGTTCGTTGCACGAGTTTAGCTTATTCTTTCAATGAGTTTTTTACGTTTTGGTCCTACGACTATATTGTCACTAACAATTTTGATCTACAACTTTTAAAACTTGTAGAATTGATCCGCGATTATTACTTTCTTAGCAAAAATAATTCTTCCGGCGAACTTTCCGTCAATTTTTCATCAAAAATTTTTTTTTTCTCCTTTCTCACAAGAGTATAATGGTCTTTTCATTTACCTAAACTAATGACCTAAATAATAATAATAATAATAATACTATAATAATAATAATAATAATAATAATAAATGATAAAGTTAAGTTCAGATTAGGCACACAGTACACTTTTACCCTCATTCTCCCTCTTTTACCTATTTTAAAATAATGATTAACTGCTTTCTTAAAGGAGACAAGTTCAAGTTTAAGTGAGAATGAGGGTGAAAGTGTACTGTGTGCGTAATCTAAACTTAAGTTTATCATTTATTATTATTATTATTATTATTATTATTATTTAGGTCATTAGTTTAGATAAATGAAAAGACCAAAATTATACCCTTGTGAAAAAAGAGAAAAAATATTTCGGTGAAAAATTGACGGAAAGTTCGCCGGAAGGACTATTTTTGCTAAGAAAGTAATAGTCGTTGACCAATTCTGCAAGTTTTAAAAGTCGTGGATTAAAGTTGTTAGTGACACTATAGTCGTGGGACTAAAATTGCAAAAAACTCTTCTTTCAATAGATAGTTGACAAATTTTTTATGCGCACCAGCATTTAATCATATCTGTTGAGTTATTGAATCACGGTGATTTACATCCCTCTTATATGTTTTGTCATGCTTTTTTTTTTTTTTTTTTTTTTTGAGAAAAAGACGAGAAATATATTAATAAAAGTCAAGCTCAAGACTATGAGCAATACAAGGAAAAGGAACCGAAACACAGACCATACAGTCAGCCTTGAACATGGCTTCCCGAGCAAGCTCATGAGCAACCTTGTTCGCAGACCGTTTAACAAAATGAAAGCTGAGATTAGTAAAGTCTCTAGCTATCTCCCTAATATCGTTGATAATCAAATCAAAAGAAGAACATAAACTAGTGCTGTTAATTGCTTGGATGACTTTAATGCAATCGGATTCAATCTGAACCTTGTCCAATTGCAAAGATTTTAACCACTTCAGCGCTTCTCTTATAGCAATAGCTTCTGCCTCCATAGGTAAGCATAGACCATCCCAGGGAATAGATTTCGCAGCCACAAATTGACCATATGCATCCCAAAGCACAAGGCCCATCCCCATTCACCTGCTATTTGAATCCAAAGCTTCATCACTATTGAGTTTGAGCCACCCCACTAGAGGTTTTGACCAAGTTTCAACCTGATGGGAAACATGGGATTGGTGGTGGCTGAGCTGATTGGCAGATTGCCACTCCAACAAGTAGGATAAAGCACCTGAGACAACATCATGGGAAGAAATCACAATATTATTCCAGACCTTCTCATTTCTAGCATCCCAAACTTTCCAGCAAATAGATATCAACTTGCATAGCTCATTATCTGACAAACTATTAAACTGTAACTCAACCCAATCCATAAAAGATACACAATGATGGGGAATAGTGTGCTCAAATAAATCCCAGCATTTCTTGGCTAGAGAACAACTCACAAAAGCATAGAAACAGGACTCATCTTCCACATTGCACAATTGGCACAAACTTGGAACATCAACGTGTCTGACTCTTAGCTTATCACAAGTCGGCAGAGAATCGGAGCATACCTGCCAAAAGAAAGCCTTTATCTTTGGGGGTAAACGTAGCTTCCAGCATTTAGTCCAAGCCAAGGTCTGTTGATTTAGCACAGCATCAGTGAGTCTTCTGTAGCAGTTTTTCACGGTATAGTCTCCTTTTTCATCTTCCATCCACACAATCTTGTCCTCAAGCTTAAGATCAGGGATAGGAATACTCCTGATCAACTCCACATCTGCAGCAATAAATTTTTCCTCAATCAGATTCAAATTCCAGGAAGTTTTTGACTCATTCATAAGATCAGATACTTTAACAAGATTATTATTTCCATCTAAGGGGGTTCGGATATAAGGAAAATTAGAGCTCGGAAGTCAAGGAACACCCCAAATATAAATGGAATCCCCATTCCCTACTCTCCATCTATAGTTGTCTCTCACAACATTTTGTGCTTCAAGGATACTCCTCCAAATAAAGGAGGGGTTTCCACCCACTTGGGCTTCAAGGAAGGAAGATCTAGGAAAATACTTCGCTTTATAAACCCTTGCCATTAGAGAGTTGGGATTTTGAATAATCCTCCAAGCTTGCTTACCAAGAAGAGCCACATTGAACTCCCGGAGTCTCCAAAATCCCATACCTCCACTGTGTTTAGGTAGACAGAGAGCATCCCAGGCTTTCCAGCGTATATTCCTGCTACGTTCCTCATCACAATTCCACCAATAGGCATTCATAACTCTCTCTATCTCGTGACCCATTTCCAAAGGGATTAGGAAAACACTCATAGCATATGTAGGGATGGCTTGAATCACATTCTTTAAAAGCACTTCCCTCCCAGCTCGGGAAAGGAATCTGTGAGTCCATCCTTTAATTCTTCCCACCACCCTTTCTTTGAGGAAACCAATAATTTCTCTCTTGTTTCTACCAATTAGAGAAGGAAGACCCAAGTAGTTTCCACTTAGAGTACCCTCCCTCATACCCAGAATTGCAGACACAACCCCTTTTAGCTCATTATTAACATTCATACTAAAGGACATAGTAGAGTTAGAGTAGTTTACAGCTTGACCTGATACTTCCACAAAATAATTGATTATCTCTTTAACAACCATAACCTCGGGGACATTAGCTTTACAAAATATATAGCAACCATCAGCAAATAAAAGATTTGTAATTACTAGAGCCCCCCTTGCAATGGATACCCCATGAACAACTCCTTCCCTTCACTTTATTCTGAATTAGTAAATGGAAAGTCTCAAGAACAAGAATAAAGTGATAAGGTGAGATGGGGTCACCCTGCCTAAGCCCTCTACTCGGAGTAATAGTACCAATATCCCTGCCACTCAATAGGATTGAATAACTAACAGTAGAAATCAATTCCCAAATCAAGTTTGTAAACTGGTTGGAGAAGCCTAATCTGAGAAGAATATCCTTAAGAAAAACCCAGCTTACACAATCATATGTTTTCAAAGCTATTTTTACCTTGCATTTTCCTTTTAAGGTAATGGTTAGCCTCATATGCAACCATAACATTATCAGTTATCATTCTACCCGGAATAAAGGCAGTTTAAGACTCCGAAACAAATTGTGACAACAGGGGCTTAATTCTGTTAGCAATAATCTTAGACACCAATTTATATAGGATATTACACAAGGCAATGGGTCTAAGGTCCCCTAGCAATTTTGGTTTAGCCTTTTTGGGAACTAGGACAATATGTGTGGTATTAATCCCATCAGGTAAGGATCCAGATTGGACACAATCAGAACAGAAACGGAGTAAGTGAGGGCTGAGAATATCCCAAAAATGTTAAAAAAAAGCAGGGCTAAGGCCATCAGGCCCTGGAGATTTACCTGGTTTCATGTCAAATAGAGCAGATTTGACCTCTTGTAAGTCTACCCTTCGACACAACATACGATTTTGAACTTCAGAAATTTTTGGAAGGATACAATCAATGGCAGACTCATAATCCCCCCCAAGCGGCTTTAATAAAGAGTCAAAGTATGATTTAATAAGGGAATCCAGCTTTGTACCTTTATCCACCCAGGAGCCATTTTCATCTTTGAGCCTCGAGATGGTGTTGTTTTGCCGCCTTCTTTGAACAGAGTTATGAAAGAATGTCGAATTTACGTCCCCTTCTCTCAACCAAAATTGCTTGGCTCTTTGACGCCAGTAATCGTTTTGGTGTTGTAGAACCCTCAAGTACTCGTACTGGGCTTCCCTGAATAACATTAATCCCTTATGGTCCCTTTGATGATTTAGAGACGCCATCTTGTTTCTCCAATACGTTATGCGCCTATTGAAATTGGTAGCAAAGCCTTTGCTCCAATCCCATATAGCTTTGCCGAAGCTCCCAATTCGATCAATGAAGTCCTGCCCTTGGTATCTTGCCCAACTTTCCTCCATAACATCTCTACATATTGACTCCCTTAGCCAGAGATTCTCAAATCGAAATCTCTTCTTCGCACAAAATTTCTCCTCCAGTAGTATCTGAAGATGGATAGGGATGTGGTCGCTCTTCGGGACAGGAATAGATGACGCCAAAGCTTGGGAGAATACTTCAGCCCAATGATCTGAAACCAACACCCTGTCTAGTTTTTCCTCAATCCAATTTGGTGTGCCGCTTGACTTTTCCCAGGTGAATTGATATCCTTTGAAAGGAAAATCCCGCGATCCGCTTGTTTCAACAGCCTCCTTGAAACCTTCAATCAGACGACTGGGTTGAGGGTTCCCTCCTCATTTCTCTTTCGGGCACAATATGTCGTTGAAGTCTCCCATTACCGCCCAAGGAAGGTAATTGAGAGTCGACAGTCTCTTCAAGAGACTCCATGACTCAGAACGTCGATCTCTCTCTGGGACTCCATAAAAACCGGTAAAGCGCCAACGGGAATCACCAAGGCTAAGACAGACTTCAGGATCAATATGTCGATCGGAGAAAGACTTAATGTCCACTTCAGTGCCATCCTTCCACAAAATAGCAAGACCCCCTTTTCGGCCCACACAATCCACCGTAAAGAGACCAGAATAGCCCAATTTACGTTTAATGGGCTGGAAGTTTCTCAAACATAAATAGGTTTCAACAAGAAAAATAATGTTGGGCTTCTTAGAGTGAACTAGGTCCACAAGTACCTGAACCGTCGATGGGTTCCCAAGCCCACGACAATTCCAAGATAAAAGACTCATTGTTCTGGGCGAGCCTGATCTACAGGTCCTGCCCCTTAGTCCGTTTTTTTTGTTCACAGCATGGGAAGAGAGATCCATAGGCTGAGACTTCAGCCCATCCAGTGGGCCTTCAACCTCGACCATCCTTCTCTTCTGATCCAATAGCACAAGCCCATCATCTTCAGAGCTACATTCGGATGAGACCATTTACACGTCAGTACTGGAATTTGTCCTATCGGATAGAACATCAGCCGTAACATTTTGGGAATTGGGAATTTAATATTTTGGAAGAAGAAAACAAATGGTGTTTGAAAATTTGAAAACTGATTTCTGAAAATTATTTTTAAGGTCGGCAAGGGAACAAATTGAAGTCAAAGAAAAATTACTTCCTGTCAAAGAAAAATTAACTATGTTTTTTAGAAGTAATTTTTTTTTTTTATTTCTACACACACCCAAATTGACCTACTCGTACAAACTCGTCTTTTATTTTTACAGAATGAATGTATTACTACATGAAAATTTCTATAATTACACACACAAATTATTCATAAAATATGTTATACATGAAGTTTGCTTTGTAATTTTAAGAAACAAAATATCACAAAATAATAATAATAATAATAATAATAATAATAATAATAATAATAATAATAATAAATTAGTATAAGTTAATCCATTTAAATCAATAATGCTAATATATAACTTTCACTAAAAGTTAAACTTGAAATCTTGTGAAAAATTTTATTATCTAAACTAAAAATAGTAAAAGATGTATGCATGTATGTATTATAATTTGATTTTATTGTATCAAATTATAAAAAGTATTACATATTTTATTATTTTTAATATTTGATATTATTATAATTGTTGCATATATATATATATATATATATATATATATATATATATATATATATATATCATTGTTCAGGTTAGTCCATTCTTTCTCATGAGTCCGTGTGGACAGATCTAGGTCATTGAATGCTTAAAATCAATGGCTTAGATTTCGCTAACTGTGCAACTTTGCAAATATGCACGACAATTGTGCACTTCACTTGCACAGTTCGTGATGCACAGTTGACTAAATCTAAGTTTGATCTCAAGCATTCAATGACCTATATCTGTCCACGTGGACTCATGGGATAGGGGTGAACACACAAACACACTAATAAGAGCTAGTAAATTTAAATCTACAACAGGAACTAAAAAATGTTGGTCAAATTATTTGATTAAATGAATGATTCAGATTATTTTGATTTTAGTTTTTTTATTTTATTTTCCTACTTTAACCTCTTTTATATCATTTTTTAATTAAAAAAAATGACATTTTAGCATATTTTACCAATTTTAACTTTAGGTTTATTTAACGGGCCGTTTGGTTGGTGGGAATTACAATTACAATTCTATTCCCATCTAATTTCCACATAATTTCGAAGGCAAGCAAATTCTTTCATTTGGTTGGAGTGAATTGAAATTCCCTCATTTTTATGGAATTAGAATTCAATGTCCCCCTTGGTATTTCAATTCCATGAATTTTATGAAGAAAACAAATAACTTTAAGACAAAATTATTCATCTATTTCAATTATAACGTGTCTTCTTCTCCTACTCTCAACACATAACGTCAATCACTAAGTCAACATCAATCAAATATGTTTTCTCAAAACTCTCTTATCTATTATGTTACTTTCGTCATACAATTCAAGATTTTATTTATAACATGATACATAAATTTTCAAAATCAACATTTGAATTTGGTCATTAGGATTAATAATAATAATAATAATAATAATAATAATAATAATAATAATAATAATAATAATAATAATAATAATAATAATAATAATAATAATAATAATAGATATTTTTGGACTTTATACTACTTATTCCCTTCAAACTCACATACCAAACATTTAAATTAAAATTCTCAGTAATTATATTCCTGCAAACCAAAAACTTAAACTTTAAATTATTACTTTATTCTCATATTATTCATCTTCAATGAAATTGCAATTCGTTTCCCACGAAATTCCTTGCCCCAACCAAACGCTCCGTAATTGTAACAATTTGGTAAGTTATCAGTTCAATTGCATCAAATTAACAATCATTATTGTGTGGACCATATTTTGTCTACTGTAAAATAATGTACATTCAGTACAAAAATAATGTACATTGTATTTAGGGGATGTACATTATTTTTATTCTGAGTGTACATTATATTGTATAATGCACATTCAGTACAAAAATAATGTACATTTAATATATTAAAAATGTACTTTTGTTATGGTCCACATAACATTATGTGGACCATGGTCCACACAATGATTTGCCATCAAATTAATAAGTTTATATTTTTATATGTTTACTTGTGTTTTTTTTTTTTTTTTTTTTTTTTTTTTTTTTTTTTTTTAATTATGTGTGTAATTGTCTTTTTAGTATAAAAGTTTGATGGCCTTTGACTATTTTTTTTCATAATATAATAATTAATAAGAAATCATGTTTGATAATATTTGTCTGGATAGTATGTAAATGATTCTGTTGAACCAAAAAATATAAATATTATTAATCAAGTTTTTTCCCAAATTATTATATTACTCTAGTATATACAGATAATATAGTTATACAATGGACCAGGGTCTATCTTACCAATAGTTATGCTATGCAACCGTGTGCACCATTCATGGTGCACACGGTTGCAAAACGACGTCGTTTTGACTAAAAACGCGCGTCTCATTTAAAAAAAAAAAACAGTTTCGATTCCCCTCAACAACATTATTGTGGATATATAGTTATGAATTATTGTGGATATATAGTTATGAATTTGTGGATATATAATTATGAATTTGTGGATATATAGTTATGAATTTATGAATATTTAGTTCATTCATTGTGGATATTTAGTTCATTCATTCTGGATTTTGTGTTATTCATTCACTGTGGATATATAGTTATGAATTTGTGGATATATAATTCAAATTATGCACACAAAAAATGCTATTGCTGGGAATCGAACTTAAATTTTTTTTTTTAAAATGGGACGCGTGTTTTTAGTCAATACGACGTCGTTTTTGCAACCGTGTGCACCATACATGGTGCACACGGTTGCACAACATAATTTGCCCTATCTTACATTGTGAATACCAGTATAACATTTAGATTATGACCCTGTTTGGTAAAATAGTTAGCTTATCAACTAATTTTGACTTATTTGATCATTATTAATTGTTTGACTTGGTTAAAAAAGCAATATAAGTGTTTGGTTAATTAGCTTTTTGTAACTGCAAAATGCTTAAATTCAAAAAGTTGCTCAAATCAACTTTTTCAATTAGCTTTTTGAGAAAAGAAATTATATCAAACAGCTAGCAGCTAACAACTAATTTTCCAAACACCTTTCTATAATCAGCTAATGTTATCAACTAGTTATACCATCTAATTAACTCAATCAGCTAACAGCTAATAACCATTTACCAAATAGGGCCATATGTGTTTGCAGTTGGTATATTATGTAACTGTAGTTAATAATTTATGTACCTATAAATAAATTGAAGGTACATAATATGTTAACTGCACACACATAAGTTGTTAATTGCATATACATATTATATGTATACAATTAACAATTTATGTGTATGTAGTTACCATTTTGTGTATATGTAGTTAACATGTTATGTGCATTCAATTTAGAGTTAATTCCAGCATTGGTCCTCTGACTATCGTAGTTTTCCACAATCAGTCATTGACTTTTAATTTGGACAATTTAGACACTTGACTATCAAAATGTTTTCAATGTTGGTCCTTCCGTCAAAAGATAGTTAAGTAGACGTCAAATAGAAGGGTAAAACAGTATTTTAACCTGCACTACGTATAAAACCTCCCGTACATTCTCCTCCCAATCCGCCATTAATCCTCCTTCTATGTTTCTTCTCATAAATACCTCTGTACTATGTTCCCTTCTCTTTCGACACCTCTTGTATACGGCGGCAACCACTGTTTCACCTCCACTCCTCCGCCGCCTTGCACCTAAATACAAAAAAGAGGGGAAACGGGGAAACTAGAAAAGTCGTATATACAAAGTGAAACTTCTTTTTGAATTTTTAATTTGTTGAGAAGAAGGGATGGGTGGAGTTTTTTGTGGGAGTGGATGTGATCAGTGATTATTAGAGGGAGGAAAGTGATGCCCAAGCAGTTCATATAATAGACTTTGACATGGGAGATGGAGTCCAGTGGCCCCCTCTGATTGAATCCATGGTTCAGACAAGAAGGGCTCTAAGAGACTCACATCTGTGAAAAGGGAAGAGGAGTCCACCAATCACCACTGGAGATTTGAGCAGACAAAGAGAAGGCTTTATGACCAGCAAAGCCATTGGGTATATAACTGCGAAAAGAACAAAGAAAACAGACAAAAGGAAAGAATGGTTAGCCTTCAACTGAATGTTCAAGCTCCCACACATGACAAACAGGCAACAAAGAAGTCAAGCCATGCAGTTTCTAGAGATGCCTGCTATGATTCTTGGTTTCATGACTGGCAAGAAAACAAGATGAAGGCAATTTCCGATCTCCAGGCAGAAATGGGGTTGCAAGGTCGGAAGCTAAGCAGAGAAAACATTTTCCAGGCTAAAGAAATGGTGAATGAAAGAGAGATTCCATACAGAGTCAGGATTGAAAAAGAGAAACAACATGAGATGGCGAAAGCGGCGCGGCGTTTTTCGACTGGAACAAAAATTACGATACTCCGTGCCGCTGGTGTCGCTTGCATGAACGTTTTCGTCTCGTGGGAGCAGCGCGTCGTCGGGATTTCCGTGTTTGGACAGAATCTCCGGGGTTATATTCCGTCGGAGCTAGGAAGTCTAGTCTATCTCCGGCGACTTAATCTTCACGGTAACAACTTCTACGGTTCTATACAGGAGCCTCTGTTTAACGCCACGTCACTGCACAGTATTTTTCTCTACAAATTTGCTGGGATTTTGATTTTTATCGCTTATAGAGAGTAGAACGACATGTATTATACACAGAAAATGTTAAAAGACTATTTTACCCTTCAATTTAACGTTCACTTAACCAATTTGTGACGGAAGGACCAACCTTGGAAACATTTTGATAGTTAAGGGTCTAAATTGTCCAAATTAAAAGTCAAGGACTAATTGTGGAAGATCACGATAGTCGGAGGACCAATGCTGGAATTAACTCATTCAATTTATTTATAGTTACATGTGTCTGCAGTTAACATATTATGTACATGCAATTAATAGTCTATGTATTTATAGTTACCATTTTATGTGTTTGTAGTTAATATGTTATGTTCTCTCAATTTAGAGGAAATTTCAATTTTGGTCCTATGACTATAGGGGTCTTGTTAATTTCAGCCTCTGAGTTTTAAAAGTGTCAATTTAGTACCTTAACTATGCAATTTTTGTCAATTTTGGTCACTCCGTCCAAATTGCCGGTCAAATTCCGCCGGAAATTTTTAATTGTTAACATAATGAAGGTATTTTGATCATTTCACGTCTCTTTTCTTCTTCCCAGGCGAGTCTATCCCTTCCTCTCCCGTTTCTGGCGAATGCAATGAACCAAGATGATGGGGAAATGAGGCTTGATGATATTAAAGATAGGGTTTACAGGGAGAAAGAACGCCGGAAACGGGAGAGAAAGGGATGGACTCGCCGGAGAAGAAGAAAAGAGGCGTGAAACGACCAAAATATTTTCATTATTTTAATTATTAAAATTTTTCCGGTGAAATTTGGCCGGAGTGATAAAAATTGACAAAAATTGTATAGTTAAGGTACTAAATTGACACTTTTAAAAATTAGGGACTAAAATTAACAAGATCCATATATATAGTATATATGACCAAAATTGAAATTTCCTCTCTCAATTTATTTACAATTAAGTACATAAACAGTTAATTGAAGGTACATTATATATCAACTACAATCTGCAAGACACATAATTTTTGGACTAAGATCTACAATGCAAGATGAATCATGATCTATGGTATAACAATTGGTTTCAATATGTCTCCTTTCGAGACAACTATCTTAACTAACCCATGCTTTAGAAACATTGAACATTATATTAGGGTATCGTTTGAGACCGTATAATTGACATGAGATGTGTAATATTTTAACAAAAAATATAATTTTTTTTTTATATATACTCATAAAAAATATTAATTACATTTAATTTTAACTTAATCGTATTACACGTGTTTGCTTCGTAATACAGTATTACACAAAACTTATTCATATAAAATGTAATATAGCATAAATCTACATGATTTGCAAATCTAACCAAAGCATAAGCAGCAACATCCCCAAGTGTACGAACATCACGAATAGTAGAATATAAGGTGATGATCCTATATTTTCTTTTTCATTTAAAAAAAAGAATAAAGAAAAAAAAAGTCATTTATCAATATATAGCAATACCACTTTATATGATGCTTAATTACTAATTAATTAAAATTTTTAAGTTATTTTATATTTGTAATTGTGTCTCTATATTGGAAATGTTGAACAAAGAGGGTTACAAAAAAAGAAAAAGAAAAAAAAAAAGAAGAAGAAATGAACTTTACAAGATCATATTTTTTTGAAAGCTTACAAGATCATATGATGTAAGTAAATTGTAATAATACGAGTTAAAGAATTCATTATTATATCACAAGATAAGTTTTAAGTAAGGTTATATCACAAAGTGTAATAACTAATAACATACTTAATTACTTTTTTTTTTTTTTTTTTTTTTTGTGACAAAAAAACTACAATCACTATTTGATGATTTGCACTAAGTAAATTCTCAATTCTAATATAATAATTTGTAAATTATACTACTAAAAGCTTGTGCGTGAGATATGATCTGAGGGAGTGTTGATTTTGTCAGAGGTATGAGAATCATGATTTACCGAGTGAATAACATTTTTTGGGACAATTTATATTACATTTAATTCTAATGAATAAGTTAATCCTAGCTAATTAAGGCGCTAATCACCGCAACGCCTCTCACCTTCCAACATGTCATGATCTTCACTATTATTATAAGCCGACAAGTTGAGATACTTCTCCTGCTCCGCCGCCGCCGCCCTCACGTCGCGCCACCGTGCGCGGCAGAGCACGCAGCTGATGAACCTCCTGGGCCGGTTACTCCTCCTCCATGCCAGCAAGCAGTCCTCGTGGATCGGATTCTTACACGTCCCGCACGCCGCCACTCTCTCCTCCCTCCCTATCTCCTCCAGACAAACCGGGCACGCCGCCCCCTCCGGTATCTCCACCGCCGCCCGCGACGGCGCTTCCGCCCTCTCCCGAAAGAACAGCTGGTGGAACTTCTCCCGCACCTCCGCCCCCGCCAGCACGTCGGTGGAGATTGGCATCCCCAACAGACGGTTCAGCTGACACGGCCGTAGATTCCTCCTCAATAGACAAGAATCGTCTAGGTTAATACCTAGTACCTACAATTTTGAATTTATATGACTCTAAGTTTAGCATTTATATATAAAAAAATATGGAAAACCAACCAAGTTGTTATTATGATTAATTTAATAACTACAAAATTACAAGTTTTTACAACTAAGAATTTATTATTAGTCATTTTAATTTGAATTATTCAACTATTTTTACTGTTATAAATTATGGAATTTCCGACCACTTGAAGTAATCTTAAATCAAGTCGAAAGCAAAAAGTGGTCGAAAATAACAACAAAGGTTTTTCCGGATACAAAAAATGGTCTAAACAAGACTTTCTGCTTGATTTAAAATCACGTGGTCAGAAATTCCATAATTTTCAGCAATGTTTTTTTTTTATTTATTTTTTTTATAAATATACCTGGGGACCAAAGTTTTTACTTGTCATACATACTGATTAATTTACTATTGAATCATGAATTATAGGCATTTCTAATGAGGGGACATTTAGCTTGAAAATTTAAGATTGCACCATATATTTAAAGTTAAAATCAAACCCTTAAACGTTTAGGTAATGATGGATGAGTCCCTCCTATTTAACTACATCCCTTAGATTTGAATTGATCATTATAAATAATTTAGACTAATTTATTTTTCTATGAACCTTTCAGAACTATTGTCATTAAGCCAGATTTACACAATACACATATTCAAGTAATGACTGCTGATTTGTTTTGTCCCTCATTCAAAAAAAAAAAAAAAATGACAGAGAGATGGAGTTATAATTACCTTGATCATGACGAAGAGTATGTGCTTGCATGGAGCGGTGCGGTCGGGGCAAGTGCACGAAGGGGTGGCGGCGATGTTCACGGTGTAGACGTTTCCGGTGGCGCCCAAGACGAAGAAGAACGTGTCGGAGCGGTGGAGGAGGCTGAGCGGGTGGCTAACGGCCCGGACTATCCGGTCAGCAAGGGGCTGAGTGGGCGTGATGTGGCGGTGGCGTGGCGGCTCCGCCAGGGAGGAGCTAGAAGCGACGGATTCCATGATTGGGTGGTTGAATAGTTATGGCAGTTGGGCGGTTTGTTCGTTGGTTTGATGGAGTTAAGGATATAAGAACTGTGGAAAGTACAATATAAGAGAGTTTATTGAATATTGATGATTGGGGGTGGGGATCGGAGAATATGTGGACAGAAGGATACTTGGAAGAGTTTTGAGGGACACGTGAGGGATAACGTAAACGGGAATAGTTGACTTGAAATTGTGTGTTCACGGAATTGGTTATCCTTAAGGCACGTCATATTTATTAGTAAATCCAATCTCTAATGAACCGTGCGGTCCATGGTGACAACTAAATAGTTTTACACTGCACGGAAGCTAGATACCAAATTACTCATTTACTTGGGTGGTATATTTGTAATCTAAAATATGAAAACATAATAAGTTTTAATCATGATTATATCCCTGATTTTATTTCATTTTTTCTATTAATTTTTTCTTGTACCTTATGTTATAAATGTTATATTATATAATTTTTTGGACAAAAATATCAATGCCGTTATAATTTTTATTATCTTTCACATTATTATTACCGTGCACATGCATACACAATATTTTTTTCTTACATTCTTCAATTGGTAAGTTCGATTTTATTTAGATTTTAATTAAATGTATGTTACCATACACACACACACACACACACACACACACACACACACACACACACATATATATATATATATATATATATATATATATATATATATATATAGTAATATATTATCTATATAATTCTTACTTCATTAATATTAATATGAATTCTACAATTTTATATATATACTAGTTTTTTACGGGCATTGCGCGATTAAGATAATGCCCAATATTTTTCTTAAATAAGTATTTTAAAGTATATCAATGCAATATTATATTAGAATTGTTCATGCATAGATAATTGAATGTTGAATTTGCGTATTTAAATTGGTAATTCTAAGTTTACAAATGCAAGATAATATAGTCAAGATTGATTATAATTGTCAATAAAATAATTGTATGGGTATGGTTGAAATCAAATACGGGACATGAGGGAGAGCAAATAAAAATTAAAGCATAAAATATTAAATATATACTAATATTGTTTGAGGAGATTCCGGCGGTAGGATTTGTAGTTAGAGATCTATTAAGACTTTAATATTAGAATTAGAGTAATGTTGTAGTTATAATTCTATATTAGACTTTAATATTAGAATTAGACTAGTGGTCATTTTTTCTACCCAATGTTAAAAATTAAAATCTGAACAATCTGAACTATTAATTTGATTTAATAATTTGACGGTCATTTTTTCTACCCAATGTTTATAATTAAATAAATATTTGAAAGTATCTAAATGTAAGATTATATATGAGAAGTTCAACATAAGTAATTTAATGTCTATTTTGTTTATTTAAATATGTAATTCATAGTATATGAATACAATGTAATATAGGAGATTCATTATAATTGTTGCTAAACTTTTTTTAAATAGTAACCAAGTATTTTTGTTGCAAAGGGTTCTAATATATTTAATGAATTCACATATATACAATATCAATGAATGAATCAATGGTACTAGTCCTTTAGGTATTTTGCTCAGTGTTCATTTAGTTCAACCATTATTGTTGAATAAATTATTATGGATAAAGAAATTCCTAATTTAAGGAATTTAGATGTAGTAAAAATTTAAAGGAATAATCCGGACGTACTTGAGGACACGATAATAGAATCAAGGAATGCATATTTCTTCGAAAATATATTTCCTTGTAGGTCCAACGAGGGACCAAGTACGTCAAAACGAACGTTTGACGAAACTATGGATAATCATAGTGGGGAATCTGTAAAAGAACCCCAGCTCGAGCCGAGACGCAGTAAGCGGGCGAGAGTTGGAAAATCATTCGGTCCTGATTTTCTAACTTACTTGTTAGAGTATGATTCGGGTACTCTAACTTGTTTATTAGAAAATGAACCCGATTTTCTATCTTGTTTGATAGAGAACGAGCCTCGGACGTATGTAGAAGCCGTGACTTCTACAGAAGAACCATGTGGAAAGAAGCTATAAAAATCAAAGTGGATTCTATCCTACAGAATCACACTTGGGAACTTGTTGATCTTCCTCCGGGTAGTAAACCTTTAGGATCCAAGTGGGTCTTTAAAAGGAAGATGAAACCGGACGTTTCCATCGAGAAGTATAAGGCTAGGCTTGTAATCAAGGGTTACAGGCAACGCGAGGGCATCGATTACTTCGACACGTATTCTCCCGTGACGAGAATAAACTCTATTAGGACGATACTTGCCATAGCCGCGTTGCGGAACTTGGAAGTTCATCAAATGGATGTGAAAACCGCTTTCCTAAATGACGAATTAGATGAGGAAATCTATATGGAACAACCCGAAGGGTTCGTGGTTCCGGGCAAAGAAAGGAAAGTGTGTAAGTTGGTTAAATCGCTCTATGGTTTAAAACAAGCGGCTAAGCAGTGGCACGAAAAGTTTGACCATGCGATGTTAACTAACGGGTTTAAAATAAACGAAAGTGACAAATGTGTCTACGTTAAGGAAACGATAGACGGCTACGTCATTCTCTGTTTGTATGTCGATGATATTCTTATCATTGGTAGTAATGATCGGATGATCAAGTCTACCAAAAACATGTTAAATGCGAGATTTGACATGAAGGATATGGGTTTGGCCGATTTAATCCTCGCCCCTCGGGATTAGAATCATTAGAAGACCTGATGGTCTCGTGTTGAGCCAATCACATTATATTGACAAAATCCTTGAAAAGTTTAACAAGGATGATGGTCAAATGGCTAGAACACCGTTTGATACAAACATTCATCTAACCAAGAACCACGGAGAAGGTATTTCACAGGTGGAATATGCTCGGGTTATTGGTAGTTTGATGTATCTTATGAGCTGTACTAGGCCGGATATTGCCTTTGCGGTTAGTAAACTCAGTAGATATACGAGTAACCCTGGTGCCATGCACTGGAAGGAAATAGTAAAGGTTATGAGATACTTGAGGTATACTCATGATCTTGGACTGCACTACGGGAGATATCCCGCTGTACTTGAAGGGTATAGCGACGCGAACTGGATATTTGATATTAAGGACTCTAAGTCCACGAGTGGCTACGTGTTTACACTAGCCGGTGCAGCCGTTGCGTGGAAATCCTCTAAGCAAACTGTGATAGCTAGATCCACGATGGAATATGAGCTGATAACCTTGGACAAAGGTTGTGAAGAGGCTGAATGGCTACGCCATTTTATAGAGGATATTCCTAATTGGGAAAGACCGGTACCTCCAATATGTGTGTATTGTGATAGTCAAGCCACAATTGGGAGAGTACATAGTCATATGTATAATGGTAAGTCTAGACATGTGCGTCGTAGACATAATACCATTAGACAACTACTCACAACTGGTGTTGTCTCAATTGACTACGTAAAGTTAAAAGACAATATAGCGGATCCGCTGACCAAAGGGTTAGGCAAAGAAATTGTGGAGAAGTTGACACGAGGAATGGGTCTAATTCCCTTGGACTAAAAAGTTCTATAGTGGATACCCAACCTAGCTGGCACCTAGGTTCAATGAGACAACTAAATTATGGAACGGAACGCGTCACTGTGGGGGTCTCGGACTCCCTACCACTCCTCGTTAAAACAGTGACTCCCACAAGAGGCTAGCATGTTAATGCTTTAATGATTCTTGAGTATGCAGGATACTCAAGAAAGAATCACCTATGTTAGAGAGAAGTGAGGGTCGCTTCAAAGGAGAATTGTTGGGCAACAATTATTTAGAAACTCTCGCAGAACCAGGAACGGTGACCCACGACCAAAATGGGCACACTCGTGAGAGCAAGAGCATGGTTGGGAGATTCCTGTGTGAGATATGTCATCGTCTACACAAACGGCAGTCGGTTCAAAGACATCGCGTTCTACCGTACAGCTAGTATAGAGTAAACATGTCTTCACAAGGGAAGGTTCAAAGGGTATAGTGACTCCCTACCTATCCTATGCAGGGATCGACCGTTTGAACACAGTTGTTTCCGATTTCAAAATACCCCGAAAATCAATTTTTCATTCATGTGGGGGATTGTTGGAAAAAATAGCTTAAAATGGCATAAAGTGGCTATTTTGTGGTACAATTATCAGTGGGGTCCACTTCCGATTTGGGTCGGGTCAAAGTGGATTCGGGTTCTTCGTAGTGAGACGAAGAGATTGATATATTGTACGCTCAAAACGGATAATGGGTGAATGAGATATTGATTCTCAAAGTAGACCCATTTGAGTTGGAAAATGAAGGGAAAAAGTGAGCTTTTGTCCCACATTTGTTTGGAAAGACCCCTTATATACAAGAGCTCTTTTGAAGCTTGTAGAATTGTATAGCATAGAGGCTCTCTCGCGCGTGGGGGGGGGGGGTGCAAATCAAATTCCAACTAGAAACGAGATCGGAAGGCTTGATTTAAGCCCGAGCTCGTGTGCGCCGGCACCTGCGGGCACGAATGTCGTCAGTTATACCAAACTTCGGAATCAATTTTCCAACACATGCCACTGGATTTCGGCCTTGCTGCGATTTAAGTTTCGGCCCGCCGAACCTGTACTGCTTTCTGTGACCGTTGGGTGTTCAATTCTTACTGTTACAGAATTAATTCCAATCTTAAATTTTGAATTGAAACCCATGGTAATGGTTGCTGTTACCAGGTGTAGTGGGCGGTGCCTTAAAGTGCCCTATTAAGAGCTATTTAATCCTTCAACCCTATATAAGAGAGGGTAGAGGCAGCAGATTTTATACACACAGAATTACACAACACGAAAGTATAATTTCCAGCTTCAAAACTCTCTGTTTCTACTCTTTCTTTACCTACTGTGTTCATAGCCTTGTCTTGCTCGCCGGATTCTTTGTTTGAATGCTCAAACATTGAATCATAGCAAGTTTTATCCTGGGAAGCCTAAGCCACAACGCTCCTAGCATCTTTGGGAGGTGATAAATAAGGTTTTAAGGAAAGAGTGATCACTTGACTCTTGCAAAAACCCAACACCAAACACTAGCCAAATTCTCCATCTTTCCTTCCCTTGTTTTTCAGAAAATAATAATCTTATTTATTGGATTATTATTTGTTTTCCTACCAACGGATCCAACAAAGTTTAGCTGGGGTTGCCCCACATTGATGCAAGCAAATGCATCTGTGATGTTAACACAG